GGTCAGAAGCACAAACTCATGTCTTAGCTGTATGGCACCTCAGGCAAGCTCTTTCATTGTTATTGTTTCATGAGTGCTTCCTTTTCCAAGTTCCTTCTGTAAAGGTATACCCTGTGCCTTATACATACTAGGCCAGTGCTCCATGACTGATACCAGCCCTAGCTCCAGCCCCAGCCCAGCCCTGGCACCAGACCTAATCCAGGTCCCAGCCTACCTGAGCAAGTTTTTCTGCATCTCTACACCTCAGTCACATCATCTGTAAGGGAAAAGTAAGCTTTGCTGCCTCCTAGAGTTGTCAGGAGGATTCAATTGGTTCATGACAATGTCCTTACAACAGAGCCTGGCAGCAAGACGTCAGCCACAGCGGAGGGTCAGCCGCTGTTAATGATAATGATGTTTGTTGATCTGGGTAGAAGGGAAACACCAACTCATCTGTCTTCTTGGATTTTATCTTTCTTATCAGAGGTCCACATCAGATCATACTAGTTTTTTTTCACTTCATTTTAAGTCATGTGCTAGGACGAAAGCCTTTAAAGACATTCATCAAGATATTCACTGCCTCGCTAAATATTAAATACTTCTTAAAAGGGAAAACTTTGTGGGAGGGAAACAGAAAATTACTTTCACATGAACAGGACTATAAACGGGATTATTTTCTTGGGGGAAAACTTTCTAAATGGAAACCTCTTAATACAATGAAAGATTGAGTTTAAATACCTTTTCTCTTTGAAAATGTCATGCCATGGTCTTCATTATTTGTTATATTTCTAAAGTGCTTTTCTTCCCAGGAAGCTCATTATGAACTGTCTCCTGACTGGATTCAATTCAGCTCCTTTGTACTGGAACCACCCTGGAAAGTCCAGCAGAAACAGGTCGGAGAGCCTGCAAGTCCAGGCCCGGCTGCTTTTGCATGGGTAGCACATTTGTGAAGTGTGACACCATTGTTTATTATTAAAGATTCAAATTCTCTCATCCCTTTAGGCAGAATATTCTCAAGTTATGAGCTTGATTCAAACTAGAGTAGACAAGATGTAGATTTCTTAGAAAGTGGGCTTCTAATGGAAAGGCTGACAATCCATTACCAGCAGGGGGGCTAATGGCTGCCACTAAAAATATGCTGAAAGATTATAGTAATAAAAACACATATTTTAAAGTGCCTGTTAGAAGTTCAAGAATTTTTTTTAATGTTACTGTTAATAATAGGCTACCCAATCCTTTTGGCATTTGATTTTGTCTCATAAATGGGCTTAATCTCAGGTAATGCCGTTGTACTGCACTATTTTTTTTTCCTGTTTGATTTCATGGGGGTTGGCTGTCTTTTGGCAGAATTATCAGCGCTCTTAATGGAAGGTAAATAATTGCTGTATTTGTAGACAGGTGGAGTTTTCAATCTGGGAAGAATCTCAGTGATCAGCAAGGTTTCTCTATTATGTTTTCCAGAAGAAACTTTAGGCTCTAAAAAATGATAGACTGGGGCTTAGGAAGGAAAACAAGCACAAGAAGGAGTTAAAGATGTGCTTCAGGTCTTTATGTTTCCCTAGCTATGTCACTATTGAAATGCCTGCCCCATCTCCCTATCCAGGCTACCCGAGTTTCTGAGTTTCCTTCTTCCTATCATGATATTTTTTTTTATAAAGGCATAAGCAATACACAGCAGCTATCCCTTTGTATTTGTTGAGGATTGGTCCAGGGGTTCCTTCAGATACCAAACCCTATGGAAGTACAAGCCCCTTATGTAAAAGAGCATTGTGTTGGCACAAAAACTACACACATCTCCCTCTGTACTTGAAAAGATCTTGATGACCTATAATAGCTAATGTGATGTCAATAATATGCATTAGGTATTATACTATATTTTTCGGGAAATAATTGCTAGCAAGTCTTTTTTATATGTTCAATGTAAATGCCATTTTGATATGCAGACAGTTGAACCCACAGATGTGGAGCTAGCACTAATGTGTTCATTTCAGAAATGACTAGATAGGCCTGGGGGCACAGTACTGTGATTCTAGCTACCTGAGAGAGCAAGGCAAGAGGATCGCAAGCTCAAGGGCAGCCTGGAAAAATTAAAGAGACCCTGTCTCAAAAAAAAAAATGTTTTGGCACACACCTCTAATCCCAGCATTTGGGAAGCAAAACAAGTGAATTTCTGTGAGTATGAGGCCAACTTGGACTGAATATTGAGTTTCAGGACAGCCAGGGCTTAATAGTGAGACCAAGTCTCAAAAAATAAGGGAAGCTGGAGTTATAGATGAATGGTAGAGTACTCCACCCCTTACCCCCCACATCCCGCAAAGACTAAAAGAAGATGATAAACGGGGTTGGGGATTTAGCTCAGTGGTAGAGCGCTCAGGCCCTGGGTTCAGTCCTCAGCTCTGAAAAACAAAAGACAAAATAACAAGAAGATGATAAACTCACTTGCAGTTCTTTGCACAGATCTCCAGTAACACAGTATACATTTCTTCTATAACACTGAGATCACATAGATCCTAAAATAATTTTAAAATTTCAAGAGCATTTTTCATGCTATTAAGTATTCTTTGAGAAACTTATTTTCATGACTGGAGAGATGTTTCAAAAATGAAGAGCACTTGTTGCTCTTGCAAAGGACCCAGCACCCACACGGTGGCTCACAACCGTCCCTGTCTGTAACTCCAGTTCCAGGGGCTCTAAAGCCCTCTTCTGACCTCCTCAAGCACTACGAAGTCATGGAGTGTACACACATATTTAAAAAAAGAACCTGTTTGTCACTTGCTTAGTATATCTTCTTGGAGTTATGTATTTCTCTAACTTACTTTAGAAGTTTACCGATTTCTCTGTTCTAACACTATATCTATACTCTTAAGTATTTACTCACATCTGTAACACCTGGGGAAAGGAAGCTTCTGCTCTCACTGCCAAATTCCCCCTAGGAAGGAGCTTGTGTGTTCTCATCCTCCCAGTGGTAGTGGAAGTGTGACCCCTTTCCTGTGCCTTCATCCACACTAGCCATTGCAAATTAAGGATTACAGATTTAGCAATTTCATATAGTAAAAAGTGTTTCTTCTCTGGCTGGTTTGTTCAATTAATTGGGGCATGGTGCTAATACAGTAGCTCATTCTGATCATTTGATTACTAGTGAGGCTGACCATTTTTACTTCATTTTATACATACCCTAAGCTGCCTTTCTTTCTCTTCTTTTCTCCCATCCTTTCTGCCTACCCCCTCTCTTCCCCTTCTTTATCCTCCTCTCCTTTACTTTTTGATTTTTTTTTTTTTTTGAGATAAGGTCTCCCTCTGTATCTCGGTGTAGGATGGGGACCATGCTTGAAGTCTCAAAGACTGAAAAAGACCCACACCTGTATTTTCAGCAGGGACATGAAGGTCTGAAGTCCAAGGCCAGCTTCAATTACTTAGTGAATATGAGGCCAGCCTGGGTTACATGAAACCGTGCCTCAAAAAAGCAAACCAGAAGAATCCCTCCCCACCTCACTTCCAAAAACCCCCATGGGGAAAATCTGATTTTACCAGTAAAACCTCCTATCTCACAGCCTTCTTCAACCCAGAAAATGGCACATCCTTTGTCACTGTCTAGACGTTATACTCCCTTGATGTTGTTTCCTGTGTGCCACATGCCATTTGTCAGTGAGTCCTGTTGGCTCTACAACCATACCATATTTTTCCGGGCTCCATCTTAATGCCATTCTGGTAAATGTAAAATCTTAAGGGATAGAAACCAGATCTGTGGTCTGAGTCTGGAATAAGAGGCAATGTCAAAGGGCCACGTGGGAGCTGATGAAGTCCCCCATGCCTAGAGTAAAGTGGTGGCCACACAACTCTACTTGTCAAAATTCATAGAAGTGTACACAAAAGAGGGGTTATAGACCTTAATTTACATGTGGAGGAGCCGTGCTGGGCATTTCTTCCTTGTCATCTTTGTATCCATTACTCTGAGCTAGGTGCCATCATAATCTTAGACTGTTAGTGTGATGGGCTCCTCGTTAATCTCACTGCACCCACACTCTTGATGGCAGCGTCTTCTCAGCACAGTAGCAAGAGAGATAATCAGAAAAGAAAAAAGTAAATTGTATTACTCTTTTTCTTACACTCTTCCAGAAGTTTCTCTTCTCGCCAGAGAAGGTCCTATGTGACTTTATCCCCCACACTATTTCTCCGGCCTGCTCTCCCCCAAGCTACCCATTCTCCCTTCCCCAATTAACACTCTCCACTGCTGAGAATGTTGTCCCCTTAAACCTGCCTGAGCGGTTCTCCACAGAGAAAAATATAGAGTTCTCACAATGGCTGCCAAAAGCCTCCATGACAGCCACCTGCTACTTCTCCAGTGATTCTCACCTAACTCTTTCCTCCTCATGCCCTCCAGGCAGCAGACCCCACTCTAGTCCTGTGGTTAGCTTGTTCTTCCTGACACATGGCTTGCTGTCTGTCTGGAATTGGCTTTCCACTGACTTCCACTGGTAGGGTGGTCCTCCTTCCTCACCTCAGGCCTTTGCCCAGATAGCAATTCCTCAGCAAGGTCTTTCACAGGAAGCTCATTAGTAATTGCAGCCCAGTGCCCCAATGTAGGAACTCTGTTTTTGGAGACAGTGTCTTGTAGGCTTGTCTCAAACTCCTCCTGCCTCCCCAAGTGCTGGCACACAGGTGTGACACATGCCTGCCTTGGTGTCTGCTCCTGCCTTACTTTTCTCATGGATCACGTTTCCATCTACTGCACAAGACTCTACCCCTATGTACGACATTACTACTTTGCCTGGTGGTTAAATTGTACACATGAGAGAAAAGGAAAGTCCCATTCATCAGTAGAGAGCATAACTTAAGGTATAAATTTCTTACTGGCCCCAGATTCCACTCAACTTCCCCCATAGCCTTTGACAACATGGATTGCCATCCAAGTCTCTGGGAGCAAGTGTTCTGGTGACACAGCTCTCTATCCTGCTCATCCTTTGTCTTAGCCACACCCAGAATTGCTGTGTTAAGTTATCTTCTCTCCATCTTCTCTCTAGAAGCAGATGTTCCAGGAGAGGAGTAGCCGGATGCTACAGGCCTTATCTCCAAAGCAGAGTCCTGTGAGCAGCCCGACCCGGAGCCGGTCTCCTTCCCGCTCTCCATCTCCTACCTTCTCCTGGCTCCCAAACAAGACCTCTCCCCCGTCCTCACCCAAAGCAGCCTCAGCCTCCATCAGCAGCTTGAGTGAGGGGGATGAGGATGAGAAGTAAAGGTACCTGGTCAACAAGAGCACACCACACAGGATGGGAAGGGGTTCCGGGATGCCTGGGTGGTATTAAGAGCTGCAGCTCTGCCGGGAGATGGGAGTTCTACCATGCGAGGTACTAGGGCCAGCTCCTTTTCCTTCCCCATTCAGTTTGGCCTGGACTCAGCATGGAGGTTTCTGACCTGAAAACTTACACAAACCTTCTTAGCATCATAGAAGCACCCCACTTTAGCCCTACTATGGAAAGGTGCAGAGCACTACTCCCTGAAGTGGGGTGACTTCTGCTTTGGTCCACACTGTAGCAAATAAGCCACTGCAGAAGTGGCTGCTGCTGCACCCTGCTATCTTCAGCCCTGAAAAGAGCCTTGCACGTGGCCTCCTATCACCCACGCTCTCCCAGAATGAATTCCCTTCCAACTGAGGTGGCTACGTGCTTCCAAAATGGGCAAGTTAAAGACAAATTCCGGCCTTCTCAGTTCGGTCACTAAGGCCTGATGGAATGCACCGACACCTTCCCATTCCAGGACCCTGACTCAGACGCAGCTTCGCTTTGGTCAGATAGAAAAGTGTGACCCTTAACCTTTCATTCAAAGGACAGCTATGTCAAGGTGAAGTCCACTTAAGGCCTGACATGCTTCTGGCTGTACTTTTTCATCTCTGGCATGATGACACTGTTTTCCAGAAATTACCTGGATTAATGGGACTCGCAACAAGGAAACCCGTCTTATCTAAAAAGAAATAACCAAACCAACCGGGAGCCACTTTGCTTTGGCTCCATGTATGGAAGATGAAAAAATATCTCTTGGAGCTTCTTAAAAGAACCGCTCTTTCCATTTCTGACAACATCACAGTTCATAGACCTCGAGTAACAGTTTGATGTAACAAACACTTAGTATACCGATAGGGGGTGCTACCTGCACGTATCTGTTCTATGTATCCTCCAACATGCCACCCCAGGGTGTATACCATATGCAATATGAATATATGGTGGTGGTGTCAGACTATATACCCCTCTCCTGCTCTTTCCCATGATACCCTGCTGAAATGCTTGATCTCAAGAACCATCTGGTTCCCTCATGACTTGGGCACTTTGTCAAAAGCTCAATCAAATGTTAGATTCCTGTAGAAATGTTTTGTCCCAGAAAATTCCTGTTGTTCTTCACCCATGACATTTTGGGTAAAGGGAAGGCTTAATCCTTTGAATGATCTGAGAGACACTGAAGTTATTTCTGGCCCTTGCTTCTCCAAATGGGATGGAGACTCTCAGATGACTGGAGAACTATGTGGGCCACTGTTCCCTAATCACATGCAGGGAATGAGCAGGCCCAGTCAAGGTTTAGAGCTAATCTCTTAGGTACAAATAGAATTTCCTGATTATACAAGTAAAGACAGACAGACAGCACTGCAGCTTGACTGAATGAAGGCCTTAACATGTGGTAGGCAAAGTCCAGTACCTCCAGTGACAGAAACACCCTCTGTTTTCAGAAGCTTTGGGAACAAGCATTCTGGGGAGTGGGGGACAACTGATGAAGAAAGGCCCCCTGTCTTTCTCCTTTGTGTTGGGGTCAAACTACCTCCCTGCTCACCTGAAGATCAGTGGTGATTGTTGCAAAACAAAACTGTGAGGCTAAAGCAACCTGGGGCCTCCTTTTTCCTGGTACTTCTTCCAGAAGTCTGTAAAGTGCTTGTGAAAGACAGGGGGTCTCTGGGAACCCAGCCTGGGAGAAAGAATGTTCTTTTCATAGTCAAGGCCCTCTTGGAGCATCAGAGGCAAGGGCTTCCATCTTTCCAGTGTATCAGTTTGACCTCAGCCTCCCACCAGGCACCCAGGACAAATTGTGTATGTATGCTTTCCATTTCAGCCAGCTGACACTTGTGGCAGCACAGGGACAAAGAGAGCAACTGAGCAAATGAAGAAGAGAAGAGGGTCCTAGAGAGAGGAAAGAAAGATAAAAGCATCTACTGTCTTAAGCCACTTAAGGTTGTGTGTGCTTGGAGACTCTCTGTTGAGGAGGAAGCCTTTATTTAAAAAAAAAAAAGTCCTGACTCCATGATCCAGGGCAGATAGGTCCACTTTTACCTAAGTCTTGCTCTGAGGCAGAGTGTAGAGGTGGTGTATGTATCAGGTGAGTATAATTTTGCAGGCCCTATATACCATCCTGACGGGTGCCACATACATAACTCATCAGAGAGCGCCACTGTAGCTGTGAGTGATGGGAAATGACCAACATCGGAATCATCCCAGGTACAAATGTCACTTAAGTGGGTTGAAACTTCTTCTCAGTTTCCAACCTCCTTACCTTCCCAAAGCCACGAGTTTTCCACAAAGAAATGGGGCGGATTCTGCTAGCCAACCTCTGGCCCTTATTGACGATCTCACAATCCTTCCCAGACCTGACCTGGTTTTACCTCCTCCCCGACACCCAGGAGGAGCCATAACTGAACTTTGTGTGGGTTCTTCAGGCAATTCTTATGGTCAAGGACAAGTTAAGGATCGAATGACAGCATAAAGCATGCTGCAAGCTTAGAGAAGTAAGAAGAAAAGGGACATAAGCCAGGGAAAGGGCTCTTTCCTCCAGGAAAGGAAAGAAGCAACTTAGGGAACCCATTCCCTAAGGCTGGGAATGGGAAGATGGAAAAAAACGACACTAGAGTTGGTGAGTATGGGAGGAGTTACGTTTTCTGCTTTCCTTCCAGGCATCACTAGGAAAGAGGAAGGCTTCCTATTGTATACTTCCATGGCTAGTAGATCCCCATGCAGCAGGTGTGGTCCTGGCCTCTCCAGCTTCTTTGGCATATTAGCAATCCTCATGTCCTCCTCATCCCTAGAAACCAAGTGCTGACTCCCTTCACATAAACAACAGCAGGGGTGTAGTTGTAATGTGATAGTAACACTGTATGGCCCATGTCTGCTAAGAAACTTCACTGTCAGGATAACCCAGAGGCACAGACACAGTGTGGCTTCTGACATGCAGTGGGGGCAGGAGACTCAGCCATCCTATGACCGAGGCTACAAGATACTGCGGTTACACTGGTGGGTTGTGGCTACAGGATGAACATGGCTTACTTTCCCTCAATCTTCAGGACTTATTTTAATGTCCAGTCCTACCCCACAGAGAAGACTGGTTATCCAGCATCTACTCAGCAGCTCCAGTCCTATCCTAACCATCTGATGAAGGAAGGAAGGAAGGAAGGAAGGAAGGAAGGAAGGAAGGAAGGAAGCAATAAGTGAGCTCATTAGGCATTTTTTTAACTTCTCTAGTTTTCTGTTGTGTTGCTGCAATGTGTCTGGGGACAAAGCCATAAGAACAGCCTATCTACTTAAAATTCTGCTGTACATATAAGCTGAGGGCTCGTCTGGATTCAAGAATGACCTTATGCCCAAGCATTTGCTCTGGTGCTGAATAGTGCAAACTACTGGAATCACCCCACCCCCACCACCGAAACCCCTAAACCCTCTACCCCAATCCCAAATGGACTACAGTATTCCCAACTTGTTTATAAATAAAGGGACACAGAGTCACACTTTGGTTGCCTTGTTTATTGTGTGTTGTTGTTGAATGTGCCAGAGGCATGCATTGTGGCAGTTGTCCTGGGTTACTGCCTCCCCAGCTGTGGCTTCAGCACATGGAAGGCTCACCTCCTGCTTTCTGCTATATGGAGCCGGGCAACCCACATCTTTATTTATAGGATAGTTAAGGACAGACCCACCTGAGGGGAGGTCAGGGCTGAATGGTACAGGTCTTACCACTCTCTGGCCTGTGACCTCTATCAAACTCACTACACTTCTCCAGCCTTGGTATTTGAACCCTGTTCAAAATGAGGTGGGGTTGAGGCAGTAACTTCTGTGCTTTCCCTTGCCAATAAAGCACTATGGATTTCTGAGGCAGCCTGCACTGTCCCCCAGCTTCTCCGAGTTAGCATGCTGACCAGGAGAAAAGGCTCACTTTTCACAAAGTGGAACGCCTCCCGGGACCCCCACAACCTGCAGAGTTGGTGATGCTCTCATCCCCACATTTGTAGCACTGAGATAAAAGCTCTCAGGTTCCATCTACTGTTATTACCTTGCTATTTTCTTTAATTTTTAAAATTAGCATAAAATGGGTTTCATTATAGTACTTCTTAGTTTGTGGTATGCTCATTTGTATGTAGCTGCACGTGCGCGCACACACATGTGTGTGCATGCGCGTGGATGTGTGAGGTTAACTTTGGTGTTGTTTCTCAGGTAGCATCCACATTGTTTTAGAGGTTTAGAGGTTGTTTAGGTGTGTCCCTGGATCACACCAGTAGGCTTAGGCTGGCTGCCTTTGCCTCCCCAGTGCTGGGATTACATGTGTACCACATCTGTTCTTTGTTGTTTAACATGGGTTCTACTGTGCTGTCTTCCTAGCTCCTCACATGGAAATTTTATATGCCATGCAATATATGCAACATATATGCAATTATATGTTGTCCTTATTGTCTCTGTTCCTGCTCTCCTAGCATCCCTCCCACTCTTATTGGCCCCCTTCTTCCCAACTCGTGTGGTCTTCAGCTTTCATGCCCTATGCATTCCACTCCTCTCTCTTATCTCTCCTCCCCCTTTTCTAGCTCTTTCCCCCGTGTGAGTTCCATGATCGATGAGAGATCCTGTCTCAAAAAATAATGTGGAGAGCAAATGAGGAAGACATCTGATGTCAACCCCTGGTCTCCATACACATACGTTATACACACAAATAATATGTAAATTTTAGTTTCTGTATATGAAAAAAGAACATGCGGTATTTGTCTTTTGGGAGAGAACTTAAAAAAATATCAAACCTCAAACCCCTAATAATTCAACCGATTAATGGGCTATGAATTAACTGGATAGTTCTCAAAATAAACATAAATGGCCATGAAGTATTTGAAAAAGTTTCCACTATCTTTAGCCACAGGACAAATGCAAATGAAAACTTCTTTGAGATACCATTTCACCTCAAGAAGAATGGCTACCATTAAGAAAACAAATAACCAATGCTGGTGAAGGTGTGGGGAGATGAGAAGCGTTCATCACTGTTGGTGGGACTATAAACTGGTGCCACCACTATGGAAATGAGTATGCCAGCTCCTCATAAACTGAAAACAGAATGCTTCTCAAGTATAGCTAGGCTTTGGCAAGTGGCCAGTTCAACTATTTTTCCATTTTTATTCAACTGGGAGCAGAGAGATGGAGGCAGAGACACTAAATCATGATCCCTAGTGTCAACACTGAAGGGAGCTGTGGCTGTTCTCAGAGTTTTCATGCAGGCAGTTGCCCCGCCCAATTCAGGAGCTTTGATTGACTCCATCTGGAGCTGGTTAGCTCTGTGAAATGACCACAGTGCTGGGATTAAAGCTGTGCACCACCAGCAGCAGAACTGGCACCACCCACTGACACTTTTCAAACTGTATGACAATTCACATACATCAAAGTATACCCAGTGAGCAGATTCTTCAAGAAACCACTTGACACCAGGAAGTGGTAGCCTTGAATCTTCCCACCTCTGTCAACAGCTGGGATTACAAACACGCACTGCTATGTTCACTAACTACTGCATCTTTTGTCTGGTTAGAAACAATAAGCAGAGTGATTTTAACATTTGCTACCAGTGACGACCTTGCTTAATTAAATGTCTCTTGAGTCTTGATGTCCACAAGGAAGAGTGAATGGGACAGGTATAAAGGGAGACGTCTTGGCCAAATAAGAAGTTGTCAGTAAACATTTGAGTGGATCGCTACATTCTGGGGACACAAAAGTCCAAAGGCATACAATCTTTGCTTGTGGTTTGTCAACTTAAGTTCTGTCTCTCCCGTCTGCCCTTACCTTTGATTCTTAGTGCACTCTGAAGGAAAAGTCCATGTTTGGAGCTGCAAAACTCTTTGATTTCTGCACTCCTGTAATCCCAGAACATAAATGGCTAGCAGAAGGACTGCCACAAATTTGAGACCAGTCTGAGCTAGCAAGCAAGCAAGTACCGGGCCAGCCTAGGCTGCATGGCAATAACCTGTCTCCAAAGGAACATGTGAAAATCTATTCTGATTCTACTGAGTAAAAATACAGAATGATCTTACCAACTTATTGACTGTAACAGTGTCTTCGGGATAGAGTATTCTACCTGGACAGAGCCAGGATTTCCAATTCTCACTCAGAGTGGAGGAAAATGAAAAAAAAAACTAAATTTAAAAAACATTTCCTATTTGAAACTACTTTTTAAGAATGTTGAAATGAAGAGACTGGTAATATTATCTCACACCTAGGTCCGTAAACAGTAGAAAGGCCAAAATGAGCTCTTGAAGTTTTTGTTGACATACAGTCTTTCTTTGAGGACCTTGGCAAGTAGGCCCGGGCTTCTCTGAGAATAGATCAAAGTCTCTTTTATGGATGAAATGCCCATCCTAGGTCTCATCCTAGATTTTTTTAATCATAGAGTGTCTAAAAGGCTCCCTCAACGGAATAACAGGACATCCATTTACCTTTACAAATTGTTATTTCATTACCAGTTTTAGGAAGAGCAGTTTTCATATAGGAAGCTCCATTCCAATTGTGCTAAGGTAACAATAATTATCCCTAACTTTAGAAAACATGACAGCAGCTTATTAAGCTGTTAAAAGAATTGCTAAGAAGCTGGAGAGAGGGCTCAGTACTTAATTGCACTTGGTGCTCTTCCAAAGGACTGAAGTTTGGTTCCCAGCAACCATGTTAGGTGGCTCATTTAAAGGGGATCTGATGCCCTCTTCTGGCCCCCCTGGGAACCTGCACACATGTATGCCATACACTCATAGAGACATATATATATATATAAATTTAAAAAGTAATAAAAATGTTCAACATCTGGTACAGTTGTTGAAATTACTAACAAGTTTATTTTTATTGAGGACCAACAAATTCTGCTTGGAAAAAATGCCAGGGAATAGAGACTGAGTAATGTTAGCTTTCCTTAAGAGTTTTATGCATAGAAGGAAGCTAAAAAGCCATGTAGTTCCAAACTCAAGTAGACAATACCTTTTCTCCTTTTTAGCTTTCCAATCATCTGTTAAACAGAGCATCAGTAAAGTCACTGTGCCAAAGAGGTGGGCTTGCTGCCAGCATACTAGCCGCTCTCAAAGGCCACTCTGTAATCTGCACTGTCAGCAGTGTGCAACACTTGAGAGTTACCTTAGGAAAGTCTTCCAGTGAGTCTAGAATAAAGGCTAGACCTCAGAGATTCTGACACGGAATCAGGTCAGGGAACACTGGGAGTCAGGACAGAGCTCCTTTACAGAGATGCTTGCTCTGTGGCTCAGGTAGCAGGGATGACCCTTGTTCTGCTGCAAGATGACAGCAGGAAAAAAATGAGATTATTTTTCTATTTATCTAAAGACAGACTGTTATTCTGATGATGTCATCAGTGCTCAGAGAGGAAAAGGACAGACCAGCATTTGGAAATGACAGTTGTCATCAAGCACCTAGGCCAGTGACGGGGAAGATAGGTGCTTAATGTTGTTTCTTAAAATCCAATAGAGGGAAAAGGCTGTAGATGGTTATTTGTCGCCACTAGCCAGAGGTGGCTACATTTTAAAGATAATTAAAATTCAAAAATTCTTTTCAGTTGCTCTAGCCATATTTGAACTGTTGAGGTAGCCAGTGTCGACCGCAGCTGAGAACACAGGCCTAGAAGAACATCGTCAATACGGAGTTTGAGTGGGGGCGGGGGGGGGGGGGTTAGGTCGTCTACAGGAACTGTTCCCAGAGGGCAACTCCTTCTACACAATGCTTTATGATTTATTCATGTGATCAAAGTGTTGATCTATGTGTTGTTATGAAGTGAGTATCTGAAAACATTTTCAGCAGATAATCACTTGCGAGCATGCATTATGAAGTCATTTGGGAAGGATTTGGAAATGAAGGACAAGGAAATAAAAACACAACATACTGCAGCGTAAGGCTCTGCAGCAGCTTCAGGGAAGGATGCAACTCGTGGAAGGACACAACCTCAGAACTCCACTTACCTGTATGAATTCCAAACGAAGACAGGAGCAGCTGCCATGAGGATGCAGTTCCTGAGCCACGAATGACTCCTAGAATGATGGCTGATGGGTTGATAAAATACAGACGAAATATTCTGAAACCAAAACTCACTGCTAAGAGTTTTGCCTTCTTAGAAGGCAGGTAACATAAAAGCAGTTGGTTTTTAGCTGGTGTTTTGAGACAGGATCCTACAGAGCGCAGGCTGACCTTGAATTCACTGTGTAGTTGAGGATTACCTTCAACTCTTGATCCTCTTGCCTTTACCCACCAAGTGCTGGGATTACAGATGTGTGTCACCATTCCTGGCTTAAGTAGCTGATTACTAATCACTTGGGTCTTTTTTTTTTTAAGTACCATAAAACATCAGACTTGGTAAGGGCCTAAGAACCCCTGGAGTCCACGCCCGTATCTAGTGACATCATGAGTCAGCTACAAGGTTTGTCTCAAATCCTCAAGACCATTGGTTTCTAGCTATTAACACACACTAGAGTGGCTATGTGCCATTCATATTAAA